CGCTGGAAGGATGACCTACCTGGCTCGCACCACCCCGGCTGCGGTGCTGCGGGACGCCGCCGCCCGTTACGAGGTGGTGAACGCGGCCGCCGCGGCGGTGGGCCAACGTTGGACAGAGTTGCAGAGGAGGCAGGCCGCCTTCGCTACCTCCGCGGCCGGGCTTGGGCTGAGGCGCATCTCGATGGAGATGGACGCCGCGTACGTGGCGTCGCGGGCGGCCACCCACGACCTGTGCGAGCGCATCCGGCCTGGGCACCGGTGGGACGACGGCGCGCCGGGCAGGCCTCTGGCGGACGCCGCGGCCAGGTTGGCAGCCACCTTGGGCCGCGACGCCCGCGGGGTGGCGACCCGGGCAGAGTTGACCCAGGCCTACCTGGGAGGTAAGCTGCGGAGCAAGGCAGTCGAGGCATGGCGTGAGGAGAGCCAGCCAGCCGACGGGGTTCGATTGAGCGCGCACTCAGCGCAGGGAGCGGGGACTCGGTACGAGCTCACCCCATCCAGGACACTTGACATGAACCTTTCCGCGGGCGAGTTCGCAGACAACGTCGCGACCTTGCTCGGTGTCGATGTGTTGGATGAGGGCAGCGCGTGCCCGCTGTGCGCGGCCCCGCTGGACGCGAAGGGTACGCATTGCTTGTCGTGCATGAGCGGAGGGGACGCCACGCTTGTGCATAATGCGATCAGAGACGTCTTCTACGACTACTCTGCTCGCGGCGGGCTGCGCCCCACGCTGGAGGCAGCAGGGCTGCTGGATGACCCCGGGGCACGCGAAGCACGACAGGCAGCGGACGAGCACCGCCCGGCAGACGTGCTGGTGATCCCCCACATCACCTTAGCACGGTGTCTGTCTGACGGCAGCCGCGCGGTGAGGGCAGACAAGGTCTGCTTCGACTTCGCCTTGATCAACGCCCTGGGGCCGTCGCACTGGGCGGACACGGCCATGGCGCCGGGGCTCGCGGCCGAGGCGTACGACGAGCAGAAGCGGCAGCGCAACCGGACGGAGGAGCGATGCCGCGAGCGCGGCCTCCAGTTCAGGCCGGTCGCGTTCGAGGCCCAGGGCGGCATGTCGAAGGGCGCGGACGCCGCGGTCCGTGCGCTGGCGACGGCGCTGGCGAGCAGGGAGGGCCGGGAGCCGGCCGCGGTGCGGCGGGAGATGCTTCATCGCATCGCCGTCATTGTGGCGAGAGGGAGCGCCGCGCGCATAGCGCGCCGGAGGGCGAAGGTGAGCGGGGCTCGAGCCTCGTGGGCGTCAGCGGCCAGACTAACGTGGGCCGCGGACCACGAGGAGCCCTAGTCCTCTGCGCCTTCCTCTCCTCCCTCCTCCTCCTCCTCCTCCTCCTCCTCCTCCTCCAGTTCAGCAGAATAGGCGAATTCTGTCGTAACCAGCCCGCCCTGGGAAAAGCGGCCGAAGTGTCGCAACCCGGATTTTGCCGAGGCCGCCTTCCGCCTCGTCCTCTTCCTCCCCTCCTCCTCCTCCTCCTCCTCCTCCTCCTCCTCCTCCTCCTCCTCCTCCTCCTCCTTCTCCTCCTCCGACGCTGCTCAGCCCGCATTTTTCGGCATGCTGCGCCCATGCACTTTTTCGATCTCATCTTATTGTTTCAGAAGAGTTGTCGACACGCATTTGGCGCGTCGTGGCCTCCTCGTTTGGAGTTGGCTGTGGTGGACGATCGACGGCTCTCGTGCTCTTTGCGGGAAGGCGTATCTCGAGGGCTTCGTTGAGATGCCGCGCAGGCGCCCGCGCTCGCGCTGCACCGAGGCCAACGGCAAGCGGCAACGCAAAACACCGAGCACACATCGGACCCTTGCAACTTCGCGAAGGCGGCCTTCAGGACGACCTCCGCGCGCTTCGAGTCGCAGGCACCACAGCCATTGAAAAGCACCTGCGCGCGCTCCCTCTGCGACAGGCCAGCGCCACGGAGCATCTTGCTCGCCAACGCACGGTCGCTGATGGCCGAAGTCGGGCTATCCAGCTGCAGCTCCATTCGTTTCTACCTCAAGTACGTCGTGCAATCGTTGGTGGGCTGTCCTGCTCGGCGGCGTGATCGCTCCAACTCCTGGCGCACCTGGCCCAAGCGTTCGTGGTCAATCTTTTCGAAGGAGTCGTCGTAGATATCGGAGATGGTCTTGAGCGTGTCCTCACACCCGAGGCCGTCCAGCTCCAGAGCCTCTATGAGCTGCTTGGCACGGCCAGTCACCTGGCTGAAGATGATCAGGGCCAGCTCCACATCCGAGAGCTTACTCAGGTTGCGGATCACCTCCGCCGCCTTCCGCCTCTCGCAATGTTTCTTCGTCGTCGCGCCGACGGCGCCGACGAAGTCCACAGGAGCTTCCGCTGCGACAGTATTAGACGCGCACGTCTGGGACCACCGTCGCCGCGATCACCACGATGTAAGGCCAAGAGCTCCCACTAGGCCTCGGGCATCACGCGCAAGACCGCGAGCAGGTCGGGCTGGCCTGCGCCAGCGGAAGACACGGACTCCACGTCAGAGCCGTCATGGGATCCACGATTGAGCCTAGCCATGGCGGGGCGCGGGGTGAACGCAGCCACCCGTTGGGAGCACGCAGTGCGTCCGCTGGAGCTCACAAGCTCCGTCACCAATGTGAACGAGAAAATGATGAAGCGGGCCGTGCGGCGGCCGGATGCGGGTGCAGTCCCAGGGCCCCAGGAATAGGGCAAAACGGCGGCGGGCAGCGCGCGCGTTGCCCCCTCCATAGTAATGTTTGCGGTCTCCCTGAACATGAATTGGCATGCTCCGGGGAAAGCTTTTCCTGCTGTGCCAGAATCTCCTCGGTTTGAGGGACGGGCAGAGAGGCTGCACTCTTCACAAATGGTGAACGGCATCGTTTCATTGTCGTTATGGGCTCGGTACCGGTTGCCATGTGAGAGATGATGTGTACGCGATGCCATATGCGCGGTGCCGTGTAGGTGGTGCTGTTCGCATGGTGCTGCGCGCTGATTGCATGTCCCGCGTGCATAGCGCAATTTGCTATGTGCGTGGTGTCATGTGTATAGCGGCCACCTTTGTACGGTACGCTGCGCGCGGAGCCGTGTGCGCGGTGCCACGTGCCATGTGCGTGACCATGCGCATACTGCTGTGCGCCGTTCACCATGCTGCTTGGCGCCTAGAACCTTCATGCCGTTCATGAGACCATGTGCGTGATGCCGCGCGCGTGGTGCCGTGAACCATGCGCGCGGTACTACGTGCGTGGTGCGTGCCGTATGCGTGGTGCTGTATGCTTGCAGGCGGGTTGAGAGAAAGAGGCGGGCTGGGCCGTAGCGGGTCGCGGGCAAACCAGACGTGCGCTGCAGATTGCGGGCGGGTCACAACCGATCGCTGGCCTCAACGGCCGGCAGATTGCGGGCGAATCGCAGCGGATCGCAGGCAAATCGCGGCGGGTCGCATGCAGGCCGAAAGAAATTTGTGGGTGAGGCGCGGCTGGGTCGAGCGCGGGTCGCGAGCGGGTGTTGAGGGGAGCACGGCGACAACGAGGAAACTGATCGGCCCCAGGCCCTAGAACTGGGGTTACCCCCGGAGCCCAGCGCCTGCTTCAGAGGCCAGGAGTCATCCCTGGGCCACGGGCTCCCAGGGATGATCCGCCCAACAACGCCAACGCAACAACGCTCTTCTGACATGATACTCCCTGCAGTTGTGATTCGCGCGGTTGTGAGTATCTCTTTCGGTGGAGCCCGCACGGGGGGCACGACATGATTTAGAATTGTACCGACATTAGTGCGGTGCCGCCATGCGAATTCAGCAACTGGAGTCGTCAGTAGAGCTCCCGATGGGGCCACGAAACGTGTGAATGGTGTGCCGACATGGGCGCGGTGCCGCCATGCGAACGCAGGCACTGGAACCCTCCGGTGGACCTCCCTGTGGGGCCACGAAGCGTGTGAGAGATGTGCCGACATGGGTGCGCTGCCATGCGAACGCAGCCTCTGGGCCCTCAGTGCAACTCCCTATGGGCACACGGAAGGTGTGAGGGATGTGCCGAAACAGGTGCGGTGCCGCAGACACTGGGACCCGCCACGAACCCGTGAGGTGTGTGCCGATATGGGCGCGGTGCCGCCATGCGAACGCAGCCACTGGGGCATTCCGTGGAGTTCCTGCCACCAAACGCGTGAGGTGTGTACCGAAATGGGCGCGGTGCCGCCATGCGAATGCAGCCTTGTGGGGCCACAGAAGGTGTGAGGGGTGTGCGCAGTGCCGCCATGAGATCTCAACCACTGGGGCCTCAATAGTGCTTCCGTTGCGGCCACGAACCTTGTGTGAGGTGTGCCGACATAGGTGCGGTGCCGTCGTGCGAAGGCAACCACTGGGGTTTCGCGTGGAGCTCCTGATTGTGCCGCGAAACATGTGAGGGATGTGCCGCAACAGGTGCGGTGCCGCCATGCGGATGCAGCCACTGTGGCCCTCGGTCGCTGTCCAAAAGGGGCCAGAAAACGTGTGAGGGATGTACCGAAACCCATGAAGTGCCGCCATGTGGACGCAGCCATTGGGGCCTCGGGAGAGCTCCTCACGGAGCCACGAAAAGCGTGAGGCGTGTGCCGAAATCGACCACTGGAGCCTTCCGTGGAGCTTCCTCGAAGGCCACGAAACGTGCGGGAGGTGCCCAGACAACTTGGGACAACTTGGGGTCTGGCGGCCGAAGTATGCAGGATGGGGTTGGCCAGGGGGCCTGTTCTTGAAATATATCAACCAACGTGTCGGGTGGGGAAAAACAACAACAACAAAACAGACGCGAGGGGGCGTGGGCTGGGAGGCCGCCGTGTCCAAACGCGTTGGGCGCTGCTGTTTTACCATCATTTCTGTAGCACGGGGGCGGTGCTCGAAGCCCCCTCCTGTTCAGCAGCGACACATATGCAAGAGGGCGACTCCATCCCCCACGAACCCAGGATCCCCCGCTGCCGCCCCCACCCCCTTTGCCACCACGCACCCATGGACAGCGCGAGGCGTTCCCTCTTCACCCTGGTTACACGCGAATACTCCCCCAGCCCTGGCCTGGCCGATCGCGTCCTCGTCCCAGCGACCCTCCTCAAGCGCCGCCACGCGGTCGAGCAGGGACCTGACCTCCCTCTGCTCCCAGAGGCTGTGCTCGAGGTGCTCCAGGCTCTGCCTGCGGCCAGCGCTGCCCTCCATCTGCTCGTAGTCGCGCTGCGCCTGATCCAACCTCTGCTCCGCCTGGCGACACAGCTCCTGTGAAGGTTTCGCAAGGGGGGGGCGACACAGGGGGGAGGAATCGGCGACACATCGCCGGCAGTTCGGCGATGGGCCCCCGATAGCGAATGCGCACGCCCCGGAGCGGGAAAACGCTATCAGGCCCCTATCGGTGATGAGCGGTCGATTGGGGGTCGATGCGCCCCCGCTGAAATCTATCATCCCTGTACGTTCCCCCTGATCCTCTTTCTCGGCCAGCACCCTGGCCCTCTCCTCGGCGGCGGACGCGGCCTTGCCAAGCAGAGCCTCGTTCGCCTCAGCGGCGGCTCGTTCCTCTCCGATGCTCCGCTCATGTGCGGCCTTCTCCTCCAATGCGGCGCTCTGCGCGTCCCTGAGCGCATCGCGAACCAGGGCGATGAACTGTGCCTCCCGAGTGAAGGGGCTTGGTTAGCAAAGGGGACGGGCAACCTCGGGATCATCACGTCCTTGAGGGAAGACACCTTTCTCTTCACCGCAGCGACGAAGCATCGGGATGCGGCAGGTCCCACGCACATACACACACACTTTTAAGTCGGTGGCGCGGTCGGCAGGTGGAGGTGCCAAATGCGAATGAACTTAGTCAAACACGCCATGATGAAATAATTCACTCACGGGGGTGTAGATTGGTTTATATATATAATCTTTAAAAAAAAATCATGTAAGAAAGAAGGTAAGTGTCCCTTCTAAGAGCAAGCGGTGCAAAGCCAAGGTGCAGCGGCCCAAAAACCCGAGGAACGCAAGCTCGGCGCGGGAATTGTCATGAGCAAACAGCACGGTGGCGACGCATACACCGCAGGGAATCTGCGCGACTAAACAACTCCACCCATCTTGCAGCGGGCAAGTCAAAGATTGAGCGACCGTGCAATAGGGTGCACGAGGTCGGCGTGAAATAAATGAAACGCGGCCGAGGCCGGCGTAGCCTTGGGCAACTAGAAAGAAGCAGAACGCGGGCGACCGCGGACAGCAGCCGAGAAACGCGGCGACGCACATGGGTGGTGAACAGGTACGGGCAGGGTCAACGTGCAGCGCAGACGCCAGCGTTAAAACAGCAACCCCAACCGCACCCGGAGCAGCGAAGGGCTACCGGCGAGGCAGATGAACGCAATGGAAAGATGGGGCAACCATCTGGGCGCAAGAGAGACTGCGCGCATCACCGCAAAGTCACATGCACACACACACACACACACACACACACACCGCAGAATGTCGAATAACAAATGCGTAGCAAGCATAGGGCCTCTAGCATATTGGCAACACTGCGTAGCTTCAGCCAGCCTCACGTAGCACACCATTGCGTGGGGGGGCGCTGGCAAAGCACGTTGCAAGCAAACTGAATGTTGCATCGCATACCATGACACAAGACAGCATTGCGTCGAACTGCGCAGCCTCGCACAACACCACAGTGCCAAGCACGGCCTGCAGTGGTACAGAACTTTCGCCCCCCTCGCCGGCCTCCTTTTCTTCCCCAGTCGAAGTCGGGCGAAAAACGGGGAACGAGCAGCATCACTGGAAAAGGCCCGGCGGCGCAAGGCGGGGGCCGACCGCGACGGTTTGCCTTCAGGCATGCAGCGTCAGGCCCCCAGAGCAAAGCATGCTCAAGCACAGCGTGGCACTGTCAGCACAGCATCGCACAGCATGGCGGTCAACACGGCGGCACGACGTAGCGCAGTGCACCACCGCACACCCTCGCCTTGGCTCGGCGAGGCGCGGCACGGCGCGTAGCACGCGGGCGCTTCGGGCGCCCCCGGCGACAGCCAGGACCCCCCCGCCCGCCTCCAGAGGGAACAACACCACCGCATCGGGCAAAACGCTGCAGATAACCCTAGGAGGTCGTTGGTTTTGCAATCACCCCCCCTGTTTCTCACAGCGGAGAACAGACACGCCCCTCCTCCGCCTCCGCCTCCGCCTCCGCCTCCTCCTCCTCCTCCTAATCCTACTCCTCCTCCTCCTCCTCCTCCTCCTCCCTCCTCCTCCACCTCCTCTCCTCCTCGTCCCTCTCCTCCTCCTGTTCCTCTCCTCCTTCTCCCCCTCCTCCTCCCCCTCCTCCTCCTCCTCCTCCTCCTCCTCCTCCTCCTCCTCCTCCTCCTCCTCCTCCTCCTCCTCCTATTCCTCCTCCTCCTCCTCCTCCTCCTCCTCCTCCTCCTCCTCCTCCTCCTCCTCCTCCTCCTCCTCCTCCTCCTCCTCCTCCTCCTCCTCCTCCTCCCCCTCCTCGTCCCCCTCCTCCTCCTCCTCCTCCTCCTCCTCCTCCTCCTCCTCCTCCTCCTCCTCCTGCTCCTCCTCGTGGTCGTTATCGCAGTCGTTGTCGTCGACGTCGTCGCTCGGGTCAGGGGGGGCTCTGGTGTGCGGGCCGTTCTTCAACTCCAGGGCAGGGCAGGGCGTTCGTGGCCGGGGGCTCGCCGCGGCCAGAAGACACCCCTCCGTTCCTCTCTTTGGCGCTGCTCCATGGTGGCGCTCGGCCCTCCGGCCATCGCTCGGACGTCCATTCCGTGTGCATGCTGCGGTTTCGTGCGTGTATGTCGTTCGCAAGGTGAGGGGAAATGCTCCTCGATGGTCCTTGCCGAAAACAAATGCACACGTCCGAGCGACACCAAGCCCGTCTGCCACTCCAGTCACGCTAGCCCTCGCGGGGTCCGATGCAGTCGAAGCATGGCCGCGAGAACGCAGGTCGAGAGCATGGGGCCTTTCGCCGAAGGCCCGATGCCCTATGGGGGGCACCTAAGACGAAGAGCACTCCACGGTGGTGAATCCAAGCGCGAAGAGCACACGGTCAGCGTCATGAAATCCAATCAAGGAAGGAAGTTCCCTTTTCCTGGCACCCAAAGCGCCGGGCTGCACGAGTAGCGCTAGAGGAACAACCATGGAAAGCCCTGCGAGACAGCGAGCCCCTTCCGAACCCGAACTGCATCTTGTTTGAGCGTCTTGGCTGCAAGGGTGCCCCTCCCAAGCTTGGGTCGGGGGCGTCCACGAGGGGGATCGTCCAAGAGGGGGCGTTCGCAAATCATGACACGAGGCACGTGCGCGGCCTAGGGGGGGCCAGGGTACGCATCAAAATAAAAAACACGGGGCCATGAAATTCGAGCAAATGTCATGGCCTCGGCCAGGATGTTCACCGCCACCTAAAACAGCACCCCTATTGGCCGCCCCAGGAGGGTTGTGCGGGAGCCCGCGCGACCCAACGTAAGCTAACTTCACAACAGGCCACGCGCCCTGAGCGAGCCATGGATCCCAGGGCAGGCCCAGCCGCGGCCATCACCTTGTGAGCTCCTGGACTCAGCCACGGCATTTGTGAAGACACTTATCGGACTCCAGCAGAAGAAGGCTTGTCGAAATTACCAACAAAACTTTCGGAAGTCCACCCTGACGACGCTGGACGCCCCCGGCGGCGCCTCTGGCGCCGCCCCGAGCGCGCTCTTCGCGCCAGCGAGTGGCTTCCACCGCAGATCCAAGAAATCCGAGCGGACCTCCGAAAATGTATGTTCATGTAGTTTGTTTGTCATCGATAGTGAAGAAACTCGGCTGCCCACCCGCACTGCCAAAGTCACAGGGCACTCTGTGCTGAAGGAGTGAGACTCCTAAGCCAGGGCCTGCTCTGGAGGCGGGGTCAATATCCAGAGCTATTCGCAATCATCGTTGTTGGCCCACTTGAGCTGGGCCTGGCAGTAATCTCTTCCGGCGCCGCCGCGAAGGGCAAGTGGCAGGCCGTCCACCATCATCTGGCGCGACGCGTACGGGTAACCTTCCAGCTCGAGAAGCGCCTGCGGGCAGTCCAGAGGCGGAGCGGGAGGCGATGCTGTAGACGTGAATGCTGCTTGCTGCTGCGCGCTGCTGCGTGCTGTTGCGTGTTGCTGCGTGCTGCTGCTGCGTGTTGCTGCGTGCTGCTGCGTGCTGCTGCGTGCTGCTGCGTGCTGCTTGCTGCTGCGTACTGCTGCTGCGTATTGCTGCTGCGTACTGCTGCTGCTTGCTGCTGCTTGCTGCTGTTTGTTGCTGTTTGGAGCTATCTCCGCGACTCGTGAACTTCCTCCTCCTCCTCCTCCTCCTTCCCCACTTCCCCCTCCTCCTCCTAAATAATGAGCGGGCGTCCCCTATGTGAATCGTATACTCATACAGTTACGTAGACGAAGTGAACCGTTCGCGAATCCGATGAGAAAGGTATACGGGTCCTATGTGAATCATATACGTTTCCAGTGTGATACGAATCATATGTGAATCGTATACGGCTCTTATGAGAGCCGCATGCGGTTCCAATGTGCATCGTCAAAATCTCCGATGTGGAGCGTACACGTACGCTTGTGAACCGTGGACGAATCGTTTTGAATCGTATACAAGTCCCATGTGAAAATTATGCATATCCATGTGTATCGTATACGACTTCTGCGTGTATCGCATAGGACTCCTTTATGGATAGTATACGGCCCCGATGCGAAGCGGAAGCGACTCCGATGTGGGTCGTATACGATTCTTGTGTAAGTCCTAAACGATTCGGATGTGAATCGTATACGCTTCCTACGTGCATCGCATACGGACCCGATGTGGATCATACACAATCCCGCCGTGAACCGTTCACGCCGATGTGACTCGTCTACGGCTCCTATGTGAATGATTTGCGGCCCCTGTGTGAACCGTATGCGGCTCCTACGCGAATCGTATACGGTTCCAATGGCAATCGTATGCAAATCCGATGCGAATCGTATACGAAGCGTGTGTGTGGACCGAACCGTATACGATTCCTAGTTGGGCCGTTTACGATCCATATGTGAGTCGCATGCGCCTCCTATGCGAAACGTGTGAGAATCACATTAAAATCGTATGCGGTTCCTATGTGAATCGCACTCGCTTCCTATGTGAATCGTATACGATTCCTATGTGGCTCGTCTACATTAGTTTTGTGAATCATCTGTGGTGCCTATGTGAATCGTATACGATGCCTATGCGAATCGCACGCGGTTCCAATCTGAATCGTATAAGGTTCCTAAGTGAACAATCTACGAGTCCTATGTGGCTCATCTACGGTTCCTATGTGAATCGCATACGGTTCCAACGTGAATCGCAACCCTCCTTCTCCTCCTCCTCCTCCTCCTCCCCCTGCCGCCCCCGCCCCAGGCACGCCGTCCTGCCTGCGGGCCGTAGGTAAGTCCCGCGACGACAAGGACGAGGAGGGAGGACAACGGCGAGGAATGAGGGAGGCAGAAAAAAAATTACGATAAGGGTTTGGTGTTTGGGGTTTGGTGCCAGGTTTTTGGGTTTTGGTGCTTGGGGCTTGATGTTCGGTGCTTGGTGTTTGGTGTCTGGGGTTTGGTGTTTGGTGTTTGAGATTTGGGGTTTGACGTTTGGGGTTGTGTGTTTGGTGTTTGCTATTTGGTGTTTGGTGTTTGGGGTTTGGGGGTTGGGGGTTAGTGTTATGTGATTGGGGTTTTGGGTTTGGTGTTGTGTGTTTGGGGTTGGGGGTTTGGTGTTTGGTTTTGCGGGTGTGGTGTTTGGGCTTTGGTGTTCGGGGTGTGGGATTTGGGGTGCGGTGTTTAAGGTTTGGTGTTTGGTCTTTAGGGTTCGAGGGTTTGGGGGTTTGGGTTTGGTGGTTGGGGTTTGGTGATTGGTGTGTTGGGTTTGTTGTTTGGTGTTTGGGATGTGGGGCTTGTTGTTTTGGGTTTAATGTTTGGAGTTTCGGGCTTGTTGTTTGGGTGTTGGTGTCTGGTGGTGTTGGTGTTTGGTGTGTATGATGTTTTTGGGGGAGGCTCCAACTGGGATATAGCCCAATTTTGTCTGGGTGTATATACATATACATATATGTGTGTATATATATATATACATCTATAGCCCATCCAACCGGAGAATAGCCCGTCCAACCGGGGTACAAAATTCGGCCTCGCCCTCCCCCTCCCCCTCCTCCTCCTCCTCCTCCTCCTCCTCCTCCTCCTCCTCCTCATCATCATCATCCGAGTTCTCCTCCTCCTCCTTCTCCTCCTCCTGGGTCTCCCGTGCGACTCTTCCAGCCTATTGAGGCTTGTTTGGAAGTCTAGCGGCCGTCACAACGATGCTGCGGCCCTCCCAAACTGTCCGAACGAACTCTTGCGGCCCTTTCGGGTATCTCTGGCGCAATGATGATGGGAGAAGGGGCGCTTCAATTTCACATTGTGGACATCTCGGGAGCAGATTGGACCCTCTTGACCAGACTTGGGACATCTGAAAACCCTCTGGGGTCTCTCTGATGCCAGTCTGGCGACATTTGGACGCCCTTGGGGGCCGTCTTAGGGCTCTGTAGTGTGGTGTCGGGCCCTTTTTCAGAAAGCCTCTTTGAAAGTTGGGGCACTCTTTGGGGCACATCTGAGCCCGACTCGGGGCCTCCTTCGGGCGCCCTTGCGCCGTCTTGGAGCCCTGCGAAGCGCTCCTGAAGCCCTCCCTGGCCATGCCCGACACGACGCTGCAGGTGCGCCACAGGGGCGGCGATGACGCGGTAAGGTGTTTCGATACTTTTGGCCGCAAGTGTTCCCTCGTATCCTACTGAATGATCTTCACAACGAGTGCTCTTCATAGCATATACAACACACCGGGCATTTCCGCGCGTCCAAACCTTGGAGACGGTGTCGAGGGATGATGCGGCCA